AATTGATTGTTTTCCTGAAAAAAAGTCGGTTTTTTTTCAAAATAAAAAATTGATTTTTTTTCAAAAAAAAAAATCAATTTTTTCTGAAAAAAAGAAACCGTCTTTTTTCGAAAAAAAACAATTTTTTTTTGAAAAATAAAATGATTTTTTTTAAAAAAACCGATTTTTTAAAAATTAAAATATCAATTTTCTGAAAAATATAAGAAATTTAAATTTTTCCAAAAAAAACCGATATTTTTCAAAAATTAAAATATCAATTTTTTCTTAAAAATACAAAAAAATGATTTTTTTTAACAAAGAATTCAATTTTTTTCATGAATATATTAAAAAATATTTTTTTTAAATACAAAAAAATGATTTTTTTAAAAAATAAAAAATATATTTATTTTTTGAAATTAAAAAAAAATAGATGGATGGAATTGGATAATTTTAATACCTCAGTTACGGGAGTTAAACTCATGCCTCTCGGTGGATGAGTCAACTCCTTATCGATTGAGCCAAATTTCTTAGCTATTGATTATACCTTTAAATATTAAGAAAAATTGTCTTAAATTACATCCAACTCTACTAATAATATTTCATCCAACGTGGTACCTTATTATAAATTTTTGACATACTAAAGTAGATGGTCGTAACAAAGAAACCATTTTTATTCTTCCTCTAGACAAAACTATCTTCAGTGTCATGTCTTGGTTGTACCATTTGTAAAATATCCATTTTTTTCCTTCTTCTTAAAAAAAATTGTGTTACGTCAATTTAAATATCTCACTCGCAAGAATTTTCAATTCAATATCTCATATATATCACTTTAGAATTTATAAGAGGTGAGCCTATGTATAGACTTGGGAACAAAATGTTTAAAAATTTAGGACTTACTCATTTGTGCTTTCAAAAGTCAATGACTTTACCCTTTCTTATCTTGCAAGTGATATTATTAGAGAATCAATTTTGTTTCTCCGCAATAGACAAATCAATTGCTCTCACATCTCTCCACCACAAGAGTCCCTTCTACCGCCAAAGTTAAAAATTTTACATAAGAATTTAAACTTTGGTGTCTACATACCTGAATGAAAAAACTTTAAAAAAACTGAAGGAATTTGTTAGAAGTAATTCATATTCAGTAGTAGTATTAGTTTTGTTAAACTTAACCTAACTAGTGTAGGCTAGCATTTTGTATATATGACATTATTGTTTGTGTATATAAACAAGTGTAGTTGTCAATAGTGTAGTGTGTAACCATTAACTGTAACAGTTTTGCAAGAGTAGTAGAGTTTGTTATTCATTCTCTCTTGTTTCTCTTCTTCCATCTCCATCTTCTTCGTCTTATGCACCAACAATTGGTATCTAGATCTCCGGTTCAAATCCACAGGGAAACAAAGGGAAACACGAGTGAACGGTTAGACATTGTGCAATTGATTTTGTTTCTTAAATTCGTGTTTAATTTTTTATCAGAATTGTAACAGAATCACATTTCTTGATTCTGCGCGATTGGGAAACATTAGTGTTTGGTGATATCTGAGTGAATTACACAAGGTTGAAGATGAATGAAAAATGTAATCTAAGTACAAAGGTTGCAGTGTTCGATGGCAAGAACTGGAATAAGTGGATGATTCAGATGCATGTGTTGTTTGGCGCTCAAGATGTTCTTGATCTCATCAACGAAGGTTACGTTCTGGTTGCACTTCCGATAAATACAACGGTTGCATAAAGGAATGTTTAGCATGATATAAGGAAGAAGGACCCGAAGGAGTTGTTCTACATCCATCAGTGTGTGGATGCAAACATGTTTGAGAAAATTGTTGATTTGACGACGACGAAGGCTGCTGAGACACACTAGTACGGTGCTACAACGATGATGCATCAATGAAGAAGGTGAGGCTTCAATCTCTAAGTATGCAGTATAAGAATCTCAGCATGAAGAAAAATAAGAAGGTACCTGACTATATTTCTAGAATGATTCTGATCAAAATGTGTCGCTACTCGAAAAAATACATCGCGCAACGACGGGGAGGCGAGAAAGATAGACAGAAGAGTCGCCACCGAACTTTATTTATCCCATGAGGGGAAAGGAAAATATCGAGAAAACCTTAAGAAAGAAATGGATAAGATGGTCTCGCAACCAAGAATGGGTTCGGAAGCCGGTTATGCGAGGGGAAGGTATTAGCACCCCTCGCATCCATCGTACTCGATGGGAACCTTTTGTTTGTCGATGTGCGAATCTATTTGCTTAAACATTATTCTATAAGAAGTGTTCCACAGGGTAAAAGAAGGGTTAGAAACAAGAAAAGTTAGGAGGAAAGAAGAGAGAAAGAACAGACTCGGTAGGACTTCGCAGTCCTATGCCTACGTATTCTCAATAGATGTGAGAAAGTCAGAGTCGACGTAGTTCGGGGAACTACAGATATGGGGGATTGTGCTCGCCAAGACATCGCCGTCTTGTGCCTACGTATTCTCATCTGGTATGAGAAATCAGAGCAGCCGTAGTTCAGCCTACGGTGTGCGGGGTGAAAAAGGGAGCTCGCCAAGACATCGCCGTCTTGTGCCTACGTATTCTCATCTGGCATGAGAAATCAGAGCAGACGTAGTTCGTGCTAACGGTGTGTTGATGTTTTTTATGGATGATGTTATCGTACGCATTCTAGCAGTTAGGTGTTTCGCTGCTCGCTCGTTGGAGACTTAGGCGTTACCTGTTTGCGGTAGAACGGACGTAACATATCCTTTTTGAAATGATTAGGTTTTCGCCACGCGAGGCAAGAAGTCACATTTGATTGATTGGATTGTTTTTAGGGGGCGAGACAGGTCCTCGGATAGTAACCCCTACGGGTAGTACCCAATTCTTTGTCTCAAAGTTTTTGTTATAAAAAGGTGTGGCGAACGAGGCGTCTTCGTATTGAAAGACGAGCGTCGAAACCACCCTCACTATAGTGGGCATCCCAACGCTCGGAGAAGAAGAGGTCTACACCCAATCCGTTCTCTTTAATTCAATGCAAAGAGAACTTCGTTCTCTTATTAAAGGTATTTTTGGCTTTGAATGGTAAGTGTTTTGCGACAGAGAACCCTACGGTAAACGTCAACACTCGGGATAGGAGAAGGCCTACGCCTAACCACTCCACGACCATTCAAGTTTTGTTGTGAAAAGATTTAAAAATGCACTCGGTACAAGACCGAGGTTTTAGGTGTGAAAATTGTGGAAGGAAGTTGTGAAAGCGAGATGGTGGATAAAGTCGCGTCTTCGTATTGAAAGACGAATATCAAGACCACCCTCACTACAGTGGGCATCCCAACATTCGGAGAGGAAGAGGTCTACACTTAATCCTCTCTTTTTAATTCAATACAAAGAGAAATTAGTTTATTATTGAAAGTGTGCTCGGTACGGGACCGAGGTTTTAGGAGGAAAAGTTTAGAAGCGTCTTCGTATTTAAAGACGAGTGTCGAAACCACCCTCACTACAGTGGGCATCTCGACACTCGGAGAAGAAGAGGTCTACACCCAATCCTCTCTCTTTAATTCAATACAAAGAGAACTTCGTTCTCTTATTAAAGATGTTTTTGGTTTTGAACGGTAAGTACTTTTGTGACAGAGAACCCTACGGTAAACGTCAAGCACTCGGGATAGGAGAAGACCTACGCCTAACCACTCCACGACCATTCAAGTATTTGTTATGAAAAGAGTTCGAAAATGCACTCGGTGCAGGACCGATGTTTTAGGTGAGAAGGTTTGAAAAAGAGAAAAAAGTCTTCGTATTAAAAGACGAGTGTCTAAACCACCCACACTACAGTGAGCATCTCGACACTCGGAGAGGAAGAGGTCTACACCCAATCCTCTCTTTTTAATTCAATACAAAGATAATTGGATTTTGAAGATGGTTTGACAAAGTTTTTGAATCGAGTCGGGACAAGTAATGAAGAGAGAAAAGAGGTGGTCTCGGATCCAACATTACTCATCAATAATTTGACTGGTAATGAATTACGAAGGTCTCGTCATCGACCCAAAACAAGAAAAATGGGACAAAATGCCCAATAAAAAAAATAAGAAATGAATCCAAATCTCTAAAATATAAAATAAACTTCTAAATATAAATTCTAAAAAAATGGATAATATACAATACTTCTAAAAGTAATATAATAGAAATTATAAATAAAATATATTAAACTAGGAAAAAATGGAAAATAATATATATAAGATAATCCTAAAATTAAATAAGAAAAGATATTACTAACCTATAAAATAATATAAAAACCATTATAAACATAATATATACAAAATTAATATATACATATATATGTTACCAAATCTAAAAAAAAAAAATAGAATAATAACAGACTGTTTTTAAAACTTAAATAAAAAAATTATATGCAGAATATAAAACTGTTTTTTTTTAATAAGTATTTACTGACTTAAAAACTAGAATAATAAAAAAGGTATTTACAATTTTTTCCTTAAAAGAGTAAAAGAAATGATAAAACAAAAAGAAACAGGGGGCGGTGAGAAACTGGAATAGTGGTCCAGAAAGTAGATGGTGGGTTTTAGGCCTAAATCGAAAAACCACAAGCGATGCTTAGCCAACTTTTCACTTCACAAAAACTGAAAATAATGGATACGAATCCATCTCACTCTGAAAATGGGTTTCAAAAGCAAAAATGGGATGACAACCAAATGGCCAAAACGCAACGCAGCTGTTCTACCCTTTCGCGATTCACATCCGTCTCCCTCGGTTCACTCATGATTCTTTATCAGCTTCGGATTCGATTCGCAATAAGTTTGTTCTGGCTTCGGTTCGTCTCAACTGGTTTCATCCTTCATCTCGTACTTCCTCTGTTCATTTTGGTTGTGGAAGGTTCAAGGGTTTGGAGAGGATTTGGAAGATGGGTCTTTGTTTTTTTTTTTTCTGTCGATGAAAATGAGGGTTTGAGGTGAGATTTGGAGATGGTAGAAGTTGTGAATCTGAAACGGATAAAAAACGAAAGAGAGAAATTGAAGAAATCGAAAGAAAAAAAACGATGAAGAGCGGTGGTTTGGGCGCGGTTCCATCCTACGGCGTCCCCGCAAAACGACGGTGGCGAGGTTTCGTAATTGCGGTTCTCGGTCTCGTCATTCTCTCCATGCTCGTCCCTCTCGTCCTCTTGCTCGGTCTCCACAACGGTTTTCACTCTTCCGGATACATATATGAACAGAGAAGTACTCCTTCGAGTCATAAAGTTCTTGAAAAGTTATGATAGACACGATATTGGCCACACCAAGAATCCTCCTAAGGGAGAAAAGTCAAGTCATGTGAAGGATCTGATCACTAAATTTGAATCAACTCTTCCCAAGGATGTTATGAAGAAATATGCTCGAGGAGACAAGAATGGTACCATCAGTAGAGGTGTGAAGTTTTCTAGGTTTCGGAAATGGTGGCACGAGAATGATGATGGAAGGAAAACGGTGATGAAGGTGATGTTGGTGAAAGTTGAAGCTGAGAGTTTCAGTTTTGATGAAGTTTGGAAGGGTTTCGTTTGAAGACTAGGTTTGTTCACAGAAGAAGAATATTGAAGGTGAGTTTATGAAATTTGAAGGTAGTTCTGTGGGAAAGTGAAGCAAGATGATGGAGAGCAAGAAGTTGGCGCGAGAAAGGTATGAAAGAGTTTATATTTGATGTGTGTTCTTTCGGTGATTTGAAACTGATGATTTGTGGGAGTTTGATTTGCAGGTGATGTGAGTTGTTTGAGGGATTTGCGGTTGAAGAGAATTTCTTTTTTTTTTGTTTGAAGCATTTGAGAGAGGTATTTGAAGGCTTGGAAATATTGAATGTATTCCCTTTAATTTAAGGTTGGTGGTCTTATTGAAGAGCCATTGATTTTGGCGTGGGGTCGAAAATGTGATGTGCTGCTGCCTTGTAGGTTTTGTCGGTTTAGTGGTAGTGCATTTTGTCCTTGCTGAGGTTTTGTTGCAGGTAAAAATGATGGTAGCTTGGTATTGTAACTGTTGTTTCTGCTTTTTGTTGTTGCAGGTTTTGTAGTGCTGGTTTTGGGTAATGGTTGTCTTGATTTTGTGCAGGTTATTGGCCCGGCGTGAATTGGTATGGTTTTTTTTGAAGGATAAGGTTTATGTTGTTGGTTGATTGGTTGGAGGAACAATATTCAGGATTGAGGGGTTGAATGATTCGTCTTTTTTTTAAGAGGGAAGTGAGTTGGAGGATTTATGCATTTCTCAGCTGAGGTTTGAAATGTTTGGAGTTTTTCTTTGAAGTTTTTTTTTAGAGCTTTGTTGTTGTGGATAGCTTTTATTATGTAGTGAATCATGAGTATGTTGGAGGCTTGTATTTGAGGCTGCTGCGTTGTGACTTGGTGTAGGAACGGTACGGATTCCGCGGAGCAGTTGTGTCTGTCCTTTTTGCAGTTATGAGCTGTTGTAAAATAGAGAAAATTGGCTGGAATATAATTCATGTGTACGGGATGCTGCAGCGGTTTTTTTTGTTGCCCTGTTTCTGGTTTTTATGCAGGTGGGTGTAGCAGATTTGGAGTGGCTCTGGTGCAGGGGACGTTTTGGCATGTAGCGGGAGTGGTATTGTGATGATGTTGCCGGTATGTTGGTTTTTCTGTCACGGCCTGTTGGACCAAGTTTATTGAATTGGTTTTGTCTTGTTGTGAGGCACTTGTTTGCAGGTTATGAGCTATGTTTTACAAATGTTGTCTGGTGTGACTTGTGCAGGTTTGATTTGTCTTGGAGCTTTGCAACAGTGTACGATGGGGTCAATTGTGAGGTTTTGGACAGGGAGTTGTACGATGGTAGCAGGCTGGTGTGTGGCTTAACACAGGAGTCTTTGAATTGTGTGCATAGGGAGGCGTATGAGTTGTGGGGTGATGAGATTCAGATGCAACTGTGTGGTCCCTTGTATTTCTCTTATAATTTGAAATTTAAACACTTGAAGTTTTCTTTTGTGTTAGACTTCCTTTGTTGTAACATATTCTAAACATTAACTAACTAGAATTTTAACAAACTAATCTAAATTAACTCTAAATAACTAAAGTCCTAATTAAATAAAACCTATACTAAACTAAATAAAATATTAATCTGATAATAAATAAAAACTATATAATTCTAAAAAAAAACTATTAAATAAAAAAAATAATAATAATAAATCTAATAAAATAAAAAATCTAAAAATAAAATAATTAATAAGAAAACTCTATATATATATAAAAAGACTTAAAATAAGATCTATTTGAATTCAAAAACTTATAAAACCTATATTAATAAAAACCTAAACAATTAAAAACTAATTCTATATAAAAAAACTACATAACTAAACAAAAGCCACACAAAAAAGTCATAAAAAAGCAGGCGAGCACCGGAGTGTCACCGAAAATACCAACACGAACTGGACCAATAGAATGAGCAAACTCCGCTTGATTTCAAAATAAATCTCCTTTTCTTGAACTGGTTTAAATCGTCTAAAACGCGAGAAAAGGGGCTGTGATCCCGATAATTCGTCCTGACTGACAAAATGCACCGTATACGAGAGATGATATGCAAAATGCAAATGAAATGAGACATAAGCCAAATTACTGAAAAAGGTTGGTCAAATTTTGGGGTGCAACAGCTGCCCCTATTCAAGCGACTTGGACCTGAAGGGTTGAGAAGCGAACGGCTTTCAAACATTCAAAGGTAAAAGACGGTTGAATACCAAAGAACCCAGAAATTTGCCAACCGCAAAAATAGAACTGCAAACTCTGATATATTGGAACGAAATCTCTGGAAGATAGTTGAACTGATCATGACCTTGCCGCCAGTTATCCACATTAACTTCCTCTGACATTGTCGTCAGGCCTCTACCTCCAGTCGGTAAAGTAGCTAACATCGCCGTTAGACCTCTGTTAAATAAAACAAACCTCGAATCCAAAGATACGATAACCTGACATCGCTGCCAGTCTTACAAAACAATCAATCGGTCAATTACACCTGACATCGCCGCCAGTCATTCACAAAAATAAAGCGTCTGACATCGCCGTCGGACAACCAAAACACCCAACATCGCCGCTGGAAAACTAAATCACTTGACATCGCCGCCAGAAACAAACGTCCAACATTGCCGCTGGAGAACCAAATTACCCGACATCGCTGCTAGAAAAACATCCAACCTCGCCGCTGGGAAAACAAAGAATCTGACATCGCCGCCAGTAACAAACATCCAACTTCGCATCTGACATCGCCGCCAGTAACAATCATCCAACCTCGCCGCTGGGAAAACAAAATTACCTGACATCGCCGCCAGCTAACTATAACTCTGAGAAACACCCGACATTGCCGTCAAGTACCTGTGGGGATACAGAACTCTGGCATCGCCGCCAGACAACCATGGTGCTAATAAACCTCTGACATCGCCGCCAGACAAACATAAATCTGATAAGCACCTGACATCGCCGTCAACTCTCAACATCGTCCAATGATGGACGGAGAATCATTATATCCAAAACTCACATCGTCTAATGGTAGACAGGAAGAACAATATCCAAAATACTCACATCGTCCAATGATGGACGGAGAGGAAAATCATAACCAAATCTCGCATCGTCTAATGATAGACGAGAGGAATATCAAAACCAAATCTCGTATTGTCTAATGATAGACGAGAGGAAAATCATATCCAAATCTCGTATCGTCTAATGATAGACGAGAGGAACATCGTATCCAAATCTCGCATCGTCTAATGATAGACGAGAGGAACATCATATCCAAATCTCACGACGTCTAAAGATAGACGGAGAAGACCATACCGAAGGCCAGATCAACATGCACTTGATCTTATCACATTGTCTAAAGATAGACAGGAAGAAACGTGTCCGATCCTCACATCGTCTAAAGATAGACGGAAAGAAAACCATGCTCAAAACTCCCGACGTCTAGAGATAGACGGAGAAAACCAAACTCACGGTGTCTAATGATAGACGGAGAAAAACAACCTTTCCGAAGGCCAGATCAACATGCACTTGATCTTATCACCTTGTCTAAAGATAGACAGGAAGAAAACTTGTCTGAAGAACCACATCGTCTAAAGATAGACGGAAAGAAAACCAAACTCACGACGTCTAATGATAGACGGAGAAAAACCTTGCTGGGGAAACACATCGTCAATAGGAGCTGACGGGAAGAAAATCTGTTTGGGAATGTCATCATCAGAAGATTGATGGACAAAATCATAACCGTCATATGATCTGAAATCCGAGTAAACCGGCAAGCTGTCTGAACAAAGCTGCTGGATAAATGCCCCTGAACTGATTATAGAGTGATTCACGTTGCCACAGAAGGCTAGCAAAAACTGGCTTATACTTCGCATGCATATGTTTGAATATGTTTAATGACGTAATGCTCCATATGAAATGGAAATGCTACGCGTTTGAGGATGAAATGCAAAGATGATGCAAATATGATAACCATATGCAAAAATGCAGATGCAGGCTCGGGCTGCTGGGGGAAGCTGGATCTGAAAGAATCACTCCAGCAAAATAAATGCTGAAGAGGTGAAGCCAACTCTGCTGAGAATAGCCGGATGTGCCAAGTATGATTGGACTCTCCTGGGGATAGCTTGCACGTGCCAATGATGATTGGGCTTTCCTGGGGAAGACAGGTGAAGAGTTACGACTTCCCGACATTCACCTTGAACTTGAAGATTGACTGCACCTGCTTGAATAGCCCTGAGTAGCTCTGAAGATATAGAGAGGAACAATTCCTTTACTTCTGATTTTGCCCCAGCCTGTGGGATCTCTGTGGGGATGTTCCTTGAAAGGAAATCATAAATCTCTGTACCCTGATGGTTTGATAGGAACTGCCTCAGCATCATGAACCTTAGAGAGGTGCTTCCGATTAGCTGCCTTCTGGGTAAGGATAATATTTGTGCTCTTAGGGTGACCTGCCCCAGTCTCGAAGTGATTTGCCCCTGATTGTCCGATTTGTAGAGAAATGCCCCTAGCTGACTTCGAGAGATTTATCGAATCTCGACCTGATTGCCCCAGATTAACTGATCTTCGGATGGCTGACTCCTTTGATGATCATTTGATATGCCTTGCCCCTACTCAACGGAGTACTTGGGCGCTCTATATCTTATTTCTATCAAAACTTCGCATTGTAGAAACTTTCCTGATGTCAAATGCTTTCTCGCGAGTAAAACAATTTGTTTTGCAAAAGATAATATTAACGCCATGCATATGACAGTTTTGAAATCCAAGTCTGTTCACTG